ACAGGAGGAAAGAGAGAAAAAGAGAAAGAAAGAAAAAGAAGCAAAATACATCCCATTATACCAAGAACCAGAAATAATCTCAAACCGAATGACAAAAAGTAATCAGTGTCAACAATGAGATGACAAAAATGTGAGAATTATATGACAAAAGTTTTAAAGCAACCCTCCTAATGTTTCGGTGAAAAACTATAAACACACTTAAAACAGATGGCCAAAAGAAAGTCTTAGCAAAGAAATAATTTCAATGAAGAAAATGGGATAGGAAAAAGTACTAATTGTAAAATGGAGACTGATAAAACACAATCATCAAAGTTGTAAAAAGCTCAGGAAATGGACTCTATAATAGAATGGTGAAGAAAAAGGAAGAAATTAGTGAATGGAAAAATAGAACAATGCAAATAAGCAAATTCTATCCAAAGAAAAACATAATGAAAAATTGGTAAAATGCTGAGGGAATTCTAGAATTGTACACAAAATAATAATAGTATACATCATTAGACTCCTGGGGGAAGATAAAAAATGGGCAGTGTTAGAAGCATACTGAATAGGCAGTGTTGAAAAAAAACTGAAAAGACTTTGAGGAGACAGTTCAGTGGAGGATATGTGTTCAACATGTGCATTGGGCTCCATCTCCCACAGTAGGAAGAAAAAAAAACTTTTGAAGGGAAAAAAATGGATGAAAAATTTCACATATGGTAAGAGACATAAAACTACAGATTTAAGAATGTTCAGTGAACAAAAATGGAAGGAAAAATAAATCCATACAAAACAGCATAATAATTAAAACTTTGAACTTAAAGACAAAAAATGCTCAAAGCATCCATCAAATAAACAAAATGTCATTAATAAGGATACACTAACCCAAATAACAAGATATGTGTTTTAACAAAAAACAAGGGCACATGAAACAAGCAGCATAATCTTTTTCAAGTGTAGAAACTACTGTCAGTACAAAATTATATACCCTGTAAAAATATATTTCAGGAATAAAAACGAACTCAATTTTTTTGTCAGATGAAGGAAAATTTTGGAAGATAAGTTATTGTCAACAGACCTTCCCTGAAGAATGAGTACAGGGGCCGGGGCAAGGAGTAGCTCAGTGTTAGAGTACTTAGCAGCAAATGCACACTGTGTTCCACCCCAGTCTGACAAAAAAGAATGACCAGAAAAGAGAGCAAGGATCAAAGAATAAACAGAAAAGACAAAGAAAAGTCCAATATCTTAGAATATCAGCAAAAAAAGAAAGAGCACAGTAATAAAAAATATGAATAAATATAAGAGGTTTCCATCTCCTCCTTAATTTATAAATTGTATCTGGTGCTTGAGTTGTTCTAAAAAAATCACTTAAAGGCAGAGTATCTATAATCCACATGACAGATAACAACTCATGGAAATGTCAAACAATAGAGCTACTCTAGAAAAACTGTTCAGCAGCTTTAACAGTTTAACAATTTAACAGTTCTTTTTTTATAAAGAACACGCTTGCAGGCATGTATGCAGGTAGGCATGGAGCTGGAGTTACAGGCTGTGAGTTGCCCAACATCAGTGCTAGGAAATGAACTCCAGTCCTCCGCAAGAGCAGTAACTCTTCTCTTAACCACTCAGACATCACTCCAGCCTGATAGTTGAAAACAGTCTTAACCATATGGCACAGAAATTCCACTTATACATAAATGGGTGCTCAATAAAAATTAAAACATTTTCCATAGTCATATAAATGTCCACAGCAGCATTTTCATAATATACAAAAGGTAAAAGAATCCAAATGTCATCAACAGTATACATAAAGCATGATATACAGCAACAATGAAATATCAACTATCAATTCAAAAGAAGTCCTAATATATGACACAATATGAAAAAACTCAAAAACATACTAAGCAAAAGAAGAGTTTCAAAGACATATTTTAAAGTCCAATTTATTTGAAATGTCTATTAAAGAAATATTAGCACACAGCTCACATTAATGGTTGCCTAAGGTTGAGGATGAGAATGGGGAGTCACTGAACATGTAACAGAGTTCTTCTGGGTGATGGAAATATTCTAAAATTAGCCTGTAGTGATAACTTTGTAACTCTGTAAATTTACTAAAATCACTGAATTTTACCGTTTAACAAATTAACAAAGCTCTCTTCTAGAAGTCTTTTCAGCTGATTTGAGATTGAAAGCTATCATTGAACCCATGACTGTGCTTCAAGTCTCCATCTACTAGATGAGAAAATGACCCTCATGCCCTCATGTCATACGGCCTGCTTTTTTCTCTTCCCACTCCTCAATTTACTATCCTGGATGTTAAAGTATCATTTTTTAAAAAATCGTGTTTTGGAGCTGGAGAGATGGCTCAGCAGTTAAGAACACTGGCTGTTCTTGCAGAAGACCCAGGTTCAAATCCCAACACCCACATGGCAGCTAACAACTGTAACTCCAGTCGCAGGGGATCCAACATCCTCTTCTGACCTCCGCAGGCATTGCACGACATGGGTGCACTTACCTACATTCAGGCAATACACACATACACATAAAATAAAAATAATAAATAACAAAAAATTTAAATCATGTTTTATATGTTTACTGACAGCGGATAAATAAAATGTGTTTTGCTCAGCTTGCCTAATTCCAAATTCTTCTCCAGTTCACCAAAACAACCTTTGTTATTATATATGCCTTTACACACAGTGTATATGCAAGAAAACAGGTGAGATGATTTCACTATACCTGCACACTTAGCCAAGCGCAGCACTTCTCTAAATTGCTTTGTCCTTTTGATTAAATGTCAGCGGTCCCTCCAATTTTTATTTTATTTTTTATTGTTGAGTCAGGATCTCACTGTCGCAGCCTGTCCTCACACTCAGTATATACTGAAGGAAGAACTTGAATTTGAACTTACAATTCTTCTGCCTTTACGTCCAGAGTTTTGGGATTACAAAGGTGCACCACCATCCATTTATGTAGTGCTGGGGATCAGAACTCAGGGCTTCCCACATGATAGGCAAGCACTGTATCAACAGAGCTATATCCCCGGACACTCATCTTCCAAATGGACAATAGAATTTCACCATCTTTCTTTCCTTTCTTTCTTTCCACCCCAACATACATCATTACTTACTGTTACAGTGGTTTCAATATCACATAGCTTTGTCATAAAACCCACTTCTTACTCCTTTCCTTTTCTCTCCTTCAACTATCACTTTGTAGCATAGAGGTAGAAAGGAGAAATACCATTGAAGCAGTAGTCAGTAAAGTACTATTCCCTCTAGACACTGATGTAGTAGGCTCTTGCGGGTGAGATATTTGGGAAATATTTCATCTCATGTATGATTTTGTTTTGCTCCTTGAAAGAGAACTGACAAGTCTACGATAGTTCATTGTTGATATAACATGTTTTATTAGCACCAGTAAAATAAAAGATTATTAAGAAATATGTTAAGGTTCTATTTTTTATAATTTCTGGTTAATAAAGTTCTCTATACTACAACAAGCTACGTTTGTTAGGTATTTTAAGATTCCATCTTTTATCATAATCTCTAGTTAGTAGATAAAAGTTTTCTATACAACAAAAGCTCCATCTGTTACTCATAGGTAATAGTACAACTTACTTTTCAATTCCAAAATAACTATGGTGTTGAATATGGTGGTAATTTTTTCATGTTAGTAACACCAGCTCCTTGATAATTTGATCAGTTTGTCTCACAGAACTATTTCTTCCCTCCTCACACACCCTAAATTATTTTGCTTATTTTGCTCTGTTACTAATGCAATACTCTAAATTCACGAGTCTGTTTTCCCAGTCACACCATCTAAACAGAACGAAATCTCTTGTGTAACAGCAAGAGCAGTGAAGCTGCTATTATAGAATACCTGGATTCCAAGATTTGCTCTTATATAGCAGCTGTGTGACTTTATGGTCTTAATGACATAGATTTTGTGCTGCTGCCAAATACGAACCAGTTTGGCACATTACATAGAAACTCAAAATATGTGATCTGTGTATTTTAGTTGTGTAGAGAAGATGAGATAAAAGATTTGAAATGGAAAAATCTGGACAAAATACCAAAGTAATGACTAAATTACTTGATTTTCCTAACAGTCAATTCTTCATCTACAAAAGAGATCTAATGATGCCCGCCTCACAAGATGATTTGGGTTAACAGTAAAATAGGATGATGTTAACTAATGTTTTCTTAAGTTGGCATGCCTTCCTACATGCTCTCCATCTTCACTCACTCTCAAAACCCTAAATTCAAATCTGCATATTCTTATTCATATTTTAGGAAGCAACTCAAAGCACCACTCCACAAAGCCTTTCCAAACAACTTTAGGCACTAAAGCTCTTTGGCTAAGAGTACTGGGTTTGGGGGAGTAGGAACAGCCTCCCCCTATTTAAAACCGCGTCTGCCATTTACTAGCTCCATGACCTTGGACAAGTTACTTATTCTCTTTGCATCTATATTTCCCATCTGTAATGTGAGATCATTATGGTACTGCCCTCGTAGGGTTATGGGAAGATTAAATGAAATGCGTACACAGAGCACTTAGTACAGTCTGTGACACTAGCAAGTCCCCAAAGTACCATTTAGTAGGGGAAATTAATAGAAACTTTTCTCTTTTGTAACATGTATTAAAAATGCTTACCCTTCTCCCAAGATTATAGCAAGGATCTAAAGCTAAAGTCTCTTAAACGGTAATACTGAACAATCCCTGAATAAAGGACTGACGTATGTGTACCTTGAGATATTTTTGGATAAATTCTAAGCTTGTTTTTATAGAATTTGTTTTCCCTCGACTGCCTGCATATAGGGAACAATATCCCGCATTAATTAACAGGCAATAAAAGGAGAACGTACGTCCCTTGCGTACAAGTGACTGACTGACGTCCCAAACGCAGCACCGAGATCAGCACCCGCAGACCGGACCTCGAGAATTCCCTGGAGTTCACCTCCACCGGCCCCCTCCCCTTGGAGCCGCGCAAGCGTACACTGAATTTATTCCCTGGTCCCTCATGCCCCCGCCTCCAACCCCCGCTCTGTCTGCCCAACACGCAGGCGCATCTCCTCAAGTCTGGTCCCTACCCCCTCCTCTTTCTCGTCAGTCAGTTCCCCCTCCTCTTCCAGCAGCTCCGCAGGTTCAAACTCTTCTCCCAGAGAGTGGCGGCGATAGAGAGGTCACGTGATGAGCATCCTGCTGCCCAACATGGCGGAGTTCGACACCATCTCAGAACTGGAGGAGGAGGAAGAAGAAGCAGCAACGTCGTCGTCACCGTCGTCGTCCTCGTCGTCGTCGGTATCTGGACCCGAAGATGACGATGAAGATGAGGAGGAGGAGGAGGAGGAAGAGGAGGAGGAGGAGGAAGAAGAGGAAGAAGAAGAGGAGGAGGAGGTGCCGCCTCCGCCGCGGGTAGTGAGCGAGGAGCATCTGCGGAGATTTGCCCCCGACCCTGTGTTAGTGCGCGGCGCCGGCCACATCACTGTGTAAGCGCGGGGGCTCGGGGGCTTTGAAAGGTTGAGATTTGGCGATAGAGGAAAGAAAAGGTTACCGAAGGGCCTGTGGAGTGGGGGAGGGATGAGTGAGACGCGCTGTTAGCAAAGGACACCTGGTCTAAACGGAAAAACCGCGGGTTGAATAGGTGTAGTGTAGAAGTGAGACTGTGATGCACCGACCCCAAGGAAAGAGTGAGCGCACGACGTGCAGTAGCGGGATAGGGAAGCTGAAGCGCTGAAGTAGGGGGTGAATCTCCTCTTGTGTGTATGCTGGCAAGTGACTAGACTCTAAACTGCAGGATGTACTAGGATTCTTTGCTGCCAAGATTGATGGCTAGTGGAAAACAGGGATTACTGTGCTACGTGACAAGAACTAGGCTTGGGTTCTTCAAAACAGAAACGCAGTGTTTTGTGAATAATGTAAACAGTCACCCACCCACATATTTATACATCCATTCTTCCTATCTAATGCTTATATGAATGAGTACAGTCATCCTTTCTCTGTTGAGCGCACTACTCTGACGTTCTTTTAATATCACATCATTAGAGGTTCAGGATGACAGGCAGCTATGCAAAGTAGAAAGAGCAATGGATTGAGAATAAGAGGTCTTGGGTGCTAATCTCAGTTTTGATTCTTACTGGTTTTATGACCTTGGTCAGTTGATTCTTCCTGGCCTTGATTTCTCCATCTGCAAAATGAAGGGTTTGGAATAGGTGCTTTCTAAACCTTTTTGGCTCTGAAATGATTTAAGATATCTAGGGGGTTTTGTATATCCAAACACTGAATATACAAATATTCAGTATATACAGAAATTAACCCTTGCGAAGCTGAGGATGATTTCTTTAAAATTTATCCAGGGTGGCTTCTTTTAATTAAGATTTTATATCATATTTGAGAAAATAAAGTGGGCAAGGACTTTATAACATCTTGCTTGCACAGCAAGAAAAGAAAAATTGGCCTCTGGGCTTTAAAGAGTGTTTCCTCATTTTTATTTGCTTGGATTGTAACTATTTGTATTTTTACTATTGTATTGCATTCATTCTCTTAACTGTGGTGTCTTTTACTGCATTTTCAAAATAGGCTTGCTCTTTCCCATCATGCTGTGCTAGCTTTATATTGATCATGGCTTCACCTAGTCCCCTTGACTCAACTGAGTTATTGCATAAAATCACATAGTATGTACTAACTTCTCCATCTTTTTACCTTCTCATTTTTAGCATTGTGTCTATTCTGTAATACACTTCTGTAATCTTTGCATGAAATTTATTACAAAATATTTTAAATTGTGGAAGGCGTTGGGGAGACATTTAGGCCTTCATTTTGATTAGACAATTTTAAGACAATTCTCTTCAGTCCAAGAATTTTGCAGACAGCCTGCAATGTTCAGGTGCCAACTTACTGCACTGTTTTACTTCCATTCCTTTTGTCACTAGGGAGACAATTACTCCAACTAATTTTGATTCTAGCATCAAGGGTTCTATTTATGCAGAGTATTTTATATGATCAAACAGAGAAAAGCTATCCTTCACTGTAATCTATAGTTTTATATACCAACAGCCCCACATTATTTTCTAAAATTCAGACAATGGGTAAGTTGCAAGGAAACACAGTTTAAGTTGCCTAAAACTTCCTTGTGGTTCCGTTGTGCTAGCTACAAAACCATGATTAAATACCAATTTACTTTCTTCATTAAGAACAGAGCACTGAGATTTGCCATGTCCAGCCCCTTGTAATTCCCTGCCCCCAACCCCTGCCACACACACACACACACACACACACACACACACACAGTATAAAAATTCTGGAGGTAGGTGTACAGTGTTAATAATGGTAATCACTTGGTATTAGTTGATTGAAGAAAATTCTGAAAAGAACAAAACAGTACTTAAATCACAAGACAACGTATATAATTTAGAAAAATGTTTAGTTTTATTGTACATATTTTCTCACCTAGAAAGTACATTTGATGATAAATATTTAGCACTTTTTAAAAAAGATTCAACTATTTAGAAGGTTTGTTGTATGCTGGACACAGGGGCTCACACCTGTAACACTATCACTTGAGACATTGAGGCAAGAAGGCCTTGAGTTGGAGGTCAGACTGGGTTACATAATGAGTTCCAGGGCAGCCTGGGATACAGATACCCTGCCTCAAAAAATATTTTTTCTTTCCTGGGATCTGGGAAAAAGGCTATAATAATACAGCCTTTCTTTTGTCAGTGATGTTCTGATATATCCGAAATATCTAAATTGCTCTGAAATATTTGCAGTACCTGGTTTTTTTTTTGTGGTGATAAAGCTTAAATCCAGGGCATTGTGCATACCAGACAATTGCTCTGACAGTGAGCTACGCCTCCTAGCCCTAAACCTATGTGAGTGAAGTGTTTCTTATTCTCTTGCACCATGAGTTTTTTCCATTCTCCGTGCAGTCTTCATCTATAGAAGACTCTGTTTCTATTCGATTTAAAGTTTGAGAATGATCACTGTCAACTGTATTTTTTTTAAAACTCAAGGAAAGTATTTTGCAAACTTTCACCATCAATACAAGATATTTGAGGAGAAAGGTATGTTTAACCTGATTCTAACTCAGTTTATCTTAAACACAGCATTTTTTTCCTCCCCAAATTGGCTTTCTTTTTAGTTGCCTCATTCCTGACCCTGATACCATGATTCTCATCCCCCAGGGTAATATTTGAAATCTTTGAGTCATTTTGACTCTTCTCCTTGAATTGCCCTATGTCAATTTTTCCCAGAATTATGTCATCATACATTTAGAATTTCTCTTAGATTTATCATTTTCTCTATTCCTATTTGGCACCACTGTCGGTTGGGTTGCTCTCTTCTTCTTGAATTCTTGCCACAGTCTGCTGCCTCTCCCCATTTCGTCCTGAATGCTTGTGCCAAACTCATTTTCTTAAAACTCCATTTAATCATGATGCTTTCTTGCTGCAAACCTGCATTGGATCTTAATTAGATATGAGTTCCTCAAACCTCAGAGTTCAAGGAGTCCCTCCCCTTACCCAAAGCTCATCTCTTGACTTCTGCCTTCCATGCCCTTCTCTTCTTGCTTCCTCCCAAGATCTTGTCCCATAAGACAGTGCCTGGCTCCAGTTTTGCCTCTCTGTGCATTTCTGCTATCTTATTTTGTCATTATATTCAATCCCTCTAATTTCTTTCTTTCTTTCTTTCTTTCTTTCTTTCTTTCTTTCTTCTTTTTTTTTCAGACAGGGTCTCCTGTAGTCACAGCTGGCCTGGATTCACTATGGAGATCAGGCTGGCCTTGAACTCACAGAAATCCACCTGCCTCTGCCTCTCAAGTGGGACTAAAGGCATGTGCCACCACACTGAACACAATCCCTCTAGTTTTTAGAAAAAGCAAACTAAGGGGCTAGAAAGATGGCTCAGCAGTTAAGAGCACTGGCTACTCTTGCAGAGGACCTGGGTTTGGCTCCCAGCATATACATGGCAGCTAACAACTATCCGTAACTCTAGTTACAGGGCATCTAATGCCCTTTTCTGACCTCCATGGGCATTGCTTGACATGGGTGCACTTACATATGTGCAGGCAGTACACTCATACACATAAAATAAAAAAAATATATTTTTTAGAAAACAAAGACAAAAACTTTCTGATACCTACATTCCTTCTTGCCTAGCATGTATGAGTTATGGGTTTGATCCCAAGTACCCCCCCACCCCTCATACACATAAACAAATACAAGTTTAAGGGCTGCCTGGACTACATAGTAAGGTCCTGTCTCAAAAAAATAATTACTTTTAATCACTGTGATCCTCTTGTTGCTAAATCTATTAGCATCTTTCATTCACCTATTGTTGCACCCTCCCTGTTACATTTGACGATGACTCCTCCTCCTCCTCTTCCTCCTCCTCCTCTGCTGCTGGTTCTCCAAAGATTACACACAGTCCTTCAGGGAAGCAAGACCAATCACAACAGAATGTGTAGCATAAGTAGTGATGGGACCTCAGTTAAAATGAAAATATATGCCTTGCCTAACAGTGTTCAGATTCTAATTTAAAAGAAAACATTTTGCAATGGGGGGATGTGTGTGCCCCCCTGGTTGTAGTGTCACATACCTGTCATCCCAGCAGTTAGAAAGCTGAGGCAGGAGGGTTACAAGTTCAAGGCCAGCCTGGTACATAATGAGTTCTAGCACCACTTAGGGTTGCATGCCAAAACTCTCTCTCCATAATAAATACATAAACAATACAAAAATGAATACACAAAAAGAAAAGAGAATATTTTGCCATTCAAGTAAACCTGGGAACTTCTTTGTCTAAACTCGGTGTTTTTCATTTAGAGTCTTCTGCATTTCCTCTTAAATACCAGTGATCTTCAGAATTTTGTGTTCAGTCGTCTACTTTCGCTGTCTACTCTCCTTAGATGGTCTCTTCTTACTTTGTGTGGCTATCTAATGTTTACAAGTACGTATCACTACCCGTGACTGCTCCGGTTCTTACCGAGATGTCTTCATTCTCAAACATGCTTTCTGTAAGTTGAATGTATCTCTATTCTGTGACCTACTTTTTCTTCTTCCTACTCATACTTCCCAAAGCTAAGCAATCAGCAGTTAATAATGTGTGACTTAAAAGTCCCATGTTTTTCTCCCTACTGCCACTTCCCTGATTCAGGCATCTTTCATTATCTTAATTAGTTGTCTCACCTCCATCCTTGTCACTGATAGCCATCCTCCAACCTGTTGCATAAGATACAAAAGTACAGATCTAAATAAACTTATTTCATACTTAAGATTAATCTGCGATCTCCCATTCATTATCAGGGTAGAGTCTAAGCTCTGGAACATGGCATACAGAACTGGACCCAACTAGTCAGCATCATCTTCTATTTCCCTTGCTGCTTGTATGTTACTTTTCACACTGCACTATTTCTTAGCTTATGTGTCTGTTCAAGCTGATGTCTCCATCTGAAATGCTAATATCCATCTCTCTTCACCCAAGGTCTCCATATGTT